TTAGGGCGTGAGACTGATGAATAAGAAAAACGAATGCATTAATGATCAAGGTGTTGATGAGGAAGAGAATAAAAGAGGGAAAGAATACACAGAGCAGGTGAATATTCAAGAAGAAGATGAACTGCTGATGACGAGGCATCAAAAATGGCGATTTTCTGATCAATATTGCCACGCCATTCTCATAACAAACAACTAATCTGTACCAAACCTCCATCCATCACTCTCCTTGATCAGGTACCACTTGTACGATCAATTCACCACTACAAAAAATATAAATATACTTCTCTCTCTCTCCACACATACAATTTCTGTTCCTTATGAGAAGATTAATATTTTTGCCAACAACTCATCACTTTCCCTACAAAAACCACAGCACTCTTCTATGTCCCTCCGTTTCGAAAAAAGGTCCCAGGTGGGCTCATATGACCACCACTACAACAGCCGCCGCTGGAACTCGCCGGAATAAGAAGATAGTGGTGATATTAGGAGCCACGGGCTCTGGTAAATCAAAGCTTTCTGTAGACTTAGCCTCCAGATTTTTCACTTCATCGGAGATCATCAACTCTGATAAAATCCAAGTCTATAATGGCCTTGACATCACGACCAACAAAATCCCTTTGCATGAGCGAGAAAACGTACCCCACCATCTTCTTGGCGAGTTCCACCCCTCCAACTCACACCCCGATTTCACCCCCTCCGACTATCGATCACACTGTGCGGCTACCATTTCGAAGATTCTATCCCGCCAGCATATACCCATTATCGCCGGTGGGTCGAACTCGTTCATCTACGCACTTCTGGCTGAAAAATTCAGTCCCGAAATAGACGTGTTCAGCGAGTCAGACTCGATCAACTCAGTTATTTGTAAACAGGTTCGTTACAACTGTTGTTTTGTCTGGGTAGATGTTTCTTTACCCGTTTTGAATCAGTATTTAGTCAAGCGAGTCGACGATATGCTTGACTCGGGGATGTTTGAGGAGTTGGCAGATTATTTCAATGACCCCGATTCTGACTCAGTGAGTCAATCCGGATTAAAAAATGCCATTGGAATACCGGAGTTCGCGAGATATTTTAATAGATTTAAAAATAAAGCAGTTACTGAGTTGGAAAATAGGCTGGCGTACGAGGAGGCAGTGAAGGCAGTCAAGGACAACACGTGTCAACTGGCTAAAAGACAACTGGGGAAGATCCTACGGCTGAGGGACGCAGCCGGGTGGGACCTGAAGAGAATAGACGCCACGGCGGCGTTCACGGCGAAGCTGGCAGGCAAAAGGGTGGAGGATATTTGGGAAAGAGAGGTGGTGGAACCAAGCGTGAAGATTGTGAAGCGGTTCTTGATGGAGTAGGTTTTCCAGCTCACTCGTAACAATCCCCCTATTCTCTCTCTTGTTTGTTAGAGTTTAATTTTCACTTTTTTTTGGGTTGACAATTACTTATTTTGTTTTTGTTTCTGTGAAAATCCTTTACACCGTTGGTTTTCTAGGAGGAGACCAATTTTGAAGAATTAGATTAGGCCGCTATGAGAAATTGTGATACTTTTTGAGATAAAGAAAATTACGAACGACATATTTTTCTTTCTTTGTTAAAAGTCGTATTAGACTGAAGTTATTTGTGCATCCATCCCAAAAATTGCATTGGAAATTAATAATTCTTTTATAGGGGTTATTGGGAGAACAGCACAAGCATAAAATTTGAAGAGTATTCTAATCTGAAGGTGAAACAGTGTAAATAATATGAGAATTTTGAGGTTTGTACACTTTTTTCTACAATGGTACAAAATTGGCCTTTTCTTGTTGCAGCAAAAATACATGTTCTTAACGATTTAACAAAGGCTGCAGTAAAGAATGTCCACAACCTTCCATCATTCTCGGTTCTCCACTAATTTTCTATTACAAATTAAGAAGAAATTAAAACCAATCAAATGCGTGATATTACACTGAGTCCCCATTTGGTTATGATTTTTCACCTCAAAAAATTATTTTTTTTATCGTTATTTAACGTGTTCAGCCGTCATTTTTTTCAAGTTATCACTCACAGGTGAGACTTACTTTTTTCTTTAACAGTCAAAAAAATAATTTTCATAATTACTATTGAACAAGTCCTAAAATTACCATACCTAAAGCTAACATCCCTTATAACTACTACAAGTTTGAATCGCACTTGACTATCCTGACGTGTTTATGTTATTTTTTCTCAATTCAATCACGATTAAGTTATCTTACACGATATGTTTTCATTTCAAATTTGAGTAATTGATGGTTTCAGATACGAGTGCGCCATTTCCAGACTATAAAAACCTGTTTTCACAACATATTATTTATCTTGTGACTACCTTAGGGACAGTAAATGCAATTGTGACATTTGAAATAGAAGGTGGTCCTCATTCTCCTATATATACATATTTGCCATGCAGTCTTTTTGATCTGCAAAAACTGAAAATTTCGAAGATACCTTAATTTATGGAAAGTCCATTCTCCTCGTTGTCATGTCAAAATAACTGTGCCAAGGACTTTCTGTCATTTTTGTCATCAAAATCGTGGCCTTGTGTATATGGAGTAATTAATTAGAATTATAAAGGATTGATGGTCGGATCATAGTACTTGTTTGGTAAAGATTTTGATAATTGTCTTCTTGATCGTTAAAGATAAAGTGGATCCTACCTATGAAAGAAAAATTCAAAAATGACGACTTTAATAATGAAATAACAATAAAAAAATTGATTTTAATTAACTTTTTAGCTATACAAAAAAAGCTCTGTTTAAAAGAGTTTTATTTTGCAGGCTAAGTTCGAGATTGAAATGATTTATATAAACATGAAAATTGTATTTTTTATATTATCCAATAAATCCTAGTAATTAACTAGTTGTGTTTATCAAGTAGACTAGTACGACTACAATAATATGCTTATTTAAATTGTAGTCACCTTGTGGTTTATCAAGTTAAAATAGTTAAGACAAGTGATTGTGAATGTTAAAACTGAATATTAGAAAATAATTAAAGGCCTGTTAACCGCCCATGATGTTAAATGATGTATATACAATCTTTATTTTGTGTGGTCTGCAAATGTTATCTCTTTTGTAAGGATACAACCATAAGAAGTTAAGCCTTCTCTTAATTAATTTGAGATAGTTAATTGATTGGATAAAATTTGAAAGACACNTGTAAGGATACAACCATAAGAAGTTAAGCCTTCTCTTAATTAATTTGAGATAGTTAATTGATTGGATAAAATTTGAAAGACACATGTCACTTCAAGCAGTTGACATGGACAAATTCACGTCAATTTTGATTATTTAAGAAGTGACGTATTGATAAAAAGGGGACTTCATATAATCAATCACATTCGTAAAAACTATAGCAAGTGTGAAAAACTCCTTAAAATATGACTTTGAAAAATTGTGATCCTCTAAGCACCGTTTGGCCCCCATTAAATTTTATTCCGTTACATTTCATTTTTTGTCTCTTATATTCAACTACACAAACTTTCATAAAATATGGGAGCCAAATGGTGGCTTAGTATACTTTTACATATTTATTAGGTACTACTAGACAAATTTCGATTCACTACAAAGAATGTGTTTTGATCTATAAGAAGAATCACTCATCTTCCCTGTAAGTCTTTCTCTTTACCATAGCTAAAATTCTGCTGATTTATCCCAGTGTCACATAGTAAAACACTCCAGTGTCAAGTATATTTTCACAAGCAACAACCCAATTTATCGAGGTCCATATGAATCAAATATCAAAAACAATAAACTATGCTCGACATCACTTTAACATTCTTGTAATGCTTTATATTTGCAAGTGAGAAGGTGGTGATCATGTATAATTTAATTAATTTGTTCAGTGTAAAAGTGGATGAAGAAAAAAAATTGATTCCATCTCTCTTTGGCGATGAAGACTTCTCTCTATTTCTTTATACATTTTTTATTGCTCAAGAATAAGATTTTGACAACATATATCTCAGAATCTTATGTATATCAGATGCAATAATCAATAGTATTGTTTCATTTTGTTTTGTTTTGTTTTGTTTGGAGATAATATATCTTGTACGGACATATCTTTATATATAGTTATTCACATAAAGCGATTCACTTGTGGATTTAGATTTTTCGAATCCAAATGTAAAATTACTTTGGATGATTGGAAGATCGCCTTATAAATATAAGAGCTTCTTTAAGATATTTTTAAATCCAAAAAGTTCTTTATTTCCGAATGTCAATACGTAAAAATAAGCTTTAAAAGGTTCTTTATTTTAACTTTTCAAATAGAGAGTAAGACTTGGTCTTTTAAATTTGGACAATCATGCTACTCAAATAGGGGATTTTGATAGTATTAATAGACAGCACTCGACGTGCATTCATTGTTAGATAGAAAAAAAATAGTTAATCACAATTCACCATGTCGTGTCTGTCAACTTTCCTTATCAAAAATCCCTATTCGAGTAGCTTAATTCAAATTTGGAAGGGCCAAACTTACTCTCTATTCTTAGTTTATAATGATTACGTTTAACAAGTTACAAAATATAATATTTCACTTCTTAAATTATTTAAATCAAATTTGAATTGATTCATCATTGACATATAAAAGATTATTTAAAGATGATGAAAAATCAATGAGTATTCTTTGAAAAAATAAAATGAAGAATCAAAGTGATTAAATAAAATATTTTTTTTTAGGGTACTCTTAATTATACATAAGATGGTATTTATTATTATGAAGGGCTCTTTGAGATGCTGTAATTATATGTCTTCAATATTTTATGCACATAACTATTATACTATTTAGAATAATGCTAATCAAATAGGGACAAGGACATGTATTGTGTTGGCAACACCTGTGTGGCTAAGTTTTTTTTTTTTTAATTGTTATTATTTTTTCAATGATATTGCGACACGTGTTCTATTGTTTTTGGTTTCTATCACTAAGCCTACTTGTGTAGCATGACTGTACTACTTATCATCTTTCATGGGTCGGTTGAGTATAGCTAAGTATGTTAAATGGGTTGAGTCGAATTGCTTGACTATCGAGCCAACTCGAACTTGCATGTGGGACAAGTAGCTCAGTTCACAAAATTTCAGCTTGGTTTGCCCTATTAAGGGGCGAGTCAAGCAGTTGCCTGACACTCACGACTCTTTTTAACTAAAAATTGCATTTTCACTCTCCAAAGTATAATGAGGATGTAGAATTTTAAGGAAATGATCAAAAGTAAAAAAATTATTTGTTAAAAAGAACTACAAAGTTGTAAAAACACAGAAAGGTTGAGACCCGCTACAATATTTAGCCGAAATTAAAATAGTAAATGATCAAATTTTAGTTTTGCATTTTTTTTTTAAAATAACAAGTGAAATAATACAATTTGATAAAGAATAAAGAAACAAAATATACTTACAATACTATCTTAGTATTCTACAATTGGATATCTCAAAAACGTTTGAAGACCACTTTCATGTTCTTTGTAGTACGCAATTACATTCGTTTGAAAATGAAGATTACGAGCTAGATGTTGAAAGCTACTTATTGAACTGGTATAGTAATAGTAATAGTAATAGTAATACTAAATAATTTATGAAATTAGAAAATTTTCAATTAAACAATTAGGATAATAATGAGAGCAAAAGTTGTGTGATGAGACCAGAAGTTGTGTGAAAATTGAAGACAGCGGCACTGCCTTTTAATAGGCAAAATCATCATGCAAAAAATTTGAAATGTCAAGAAGAGGGTTTTCAAAAATTCGGTTTTGAATTTTTAGACAGCTAGAGCCCGACTGCTGAAATGACACCATTGTTGCAGAAAATTCAGCATCAGTAGACAAATTCAACAAATTTACTGTATTTGTGCAGGCCTAGATGGGTAGCTTTAACTTGTATTAGCAGACGAGTGACTCGCACGAGAATCCCTAGCTCAGCGGGTGTCCGCAATTCACCTCATATCCGAATAGCCTGTCTAGCTTGTTAGCGGGGCGGGCGACAGCTCGCTCCACTTAATTTTTTTTTCATACATTGGAACAAGACAAGTATCTTTTGGTCTTATCAATTGTTTGAATATATGTTAATCAAGGTTGGTACAATCTTAATTTTGAATTAAATCGATGAATAATTCTTACGAATTGAAATATTGACTCAAATTGAGGATCATAAGACTATCAAATTTAATTATCAAAGACATAAATAAATGTCTAAATATTTTTAAAAATTAATTATCTAAAATATTAAGACATAGATAAATGTTTTTAATAACAAATTAAGTGTTGAACCAAAAATCAAGTCCACATTTTGAGCTAAAATCTAAATCAAAGTATACTTTTATTTCAGTTCATTTTCAAAATCAAATTTTCAAATTCAATTAATTTTTATGACAAATTTATCAACACAAGTCATAAGGAATATTTATATTAATTATTCACAACCATAAATAAATAAAAATCAAAACATTATGAGCTCAGAAACCAAGCCTATGTCTACAACTGATTTTCAACAAGCAAGAAACTAAAAAACAAAACAGAGTACATATTGTTTTAAAAAAGAGAAATGCAAATGAAACATTTTTAAAATGATTAAAGAAAA